TTTATTTTTTTTTAACAATATGTTTTGCCCCACCACTTTTGGAGGTGTGGTCCACTGTTTGCCACCCTGGTCCACTGTTTGAATTTGAGTGTGAGAAGCTAGCTGTTGTGCCATTGGTTGGCCTATGTGTTGATATTAAAGCCAAGGTGCTAGACTCATACGGTCTGTGTGTGTATCAGCTAATTAATGTTACAGAATGATAGAAGATATGATGAAATAGACAATGCCCAACTTGTCTCTCCTTATTTATCTTTACCTTTTTAATTATTTTTATTTATTGTTAATTCCTCATTATTTTTTACTTGTTGAAGCAACATTATCTCCTCTTGACTACAGTGATGTGATGTACAAATATGCACCCTAAAACCTTCACATTCAGTCTATCACTCAGCTCTGAGATCCATCACCCCTACAGCACTCATCACTGCTCACTCTATGGAGTAGGCTGGTTCTCTCTGGCTGTATGTCAGGAAACACTCTGGCTTTTGTTTATTTATAAAGCACTTATTGGTCATATCATCATATATCACATCAATGCTCAATGTAAATAACAGAAATGATCAAACTCACTTCACTGACTGTATAAGCCTTCAGGTACCGAGAGCTTTTACTGAACTGTGAAAATCTGTTTTTAGCTGCAGAGCATCAACGAACTGAAATTACAGGGAACTCTAAAACTCTAAAACTCTAAAACTAACCACCTCCACTCAGCCTGCAACCAGTACTTCATCTGAACTGGTACCTATTTGAGTTTGGTTTGTTTTACTGTTTTTGCTTTTATTTATTTATTTATTTTTATAATTATGTTTATTTTTACCTATTTTAAATTGTGTAATGATTACTATGTTTGTTTTATCTCTTTTTACTGGTTTGATTTTTTCTATGTTTATTTCAGTCTTTATTACTCTTTTCAAACCCTCTTCTCTGTTCTAATGCTTGGCTACTTTGCAAATGAGGGTCACCCTCGAGGTACTCTGAGTTTAAATAAAGGTTGATTCACTGATTGATTGATTGATTGATTGAACCGTGCCATAAGTGCATTTTCAGGGACCAAACCAAATTTAGATTTTGTGTTTTTCAGGGGGTCCAGGAGGTTAACCGGTGACCACCCCATATTTCTCCCCTTGGTTTTCATCACTTTTGTTTTGGTGAAGATCTTTATAGGCGTACATAGACAGCATGAAAAATCACGTCTCTTCTTATCTGTAAGTTATTAGAACATACCATCCCTATCTCCACGCTGTTCAAAGATGTCTTCCAGGATGCTCCTCATGGCGAGAACGTGTTCTACGACACTCCCAGTTTCTCCTTTGTAAGTAAACACAGCCACCAGTGTGAACATCAATCAGCTCACAGGACGCGTTAAAGACCAGGGAGCCAAAAGAACCATAGAAGAAAGAGGAGCTGTAGGTGATCTGGGAGTCATGGTGTTGCCAGTTCTCTGTAATAGATTTCTGGGTAATTATATGGATGTATATGATTATATGGATGTATATGATTATATGATGGAGTTGCTTGATCTCATTCTACTTTTTGAATGATTTATGATTCCTTTGTAAACATCATTACTGTAGATTTGGCAGACAGACTTCACACCTAGCCTTTGTTAGATCTGTATCTCTATAAAGCTTGTACTTTTTTTGCTCCCCAGCTGAAGGTGTTTTTCTGAAGGCCATCAATACACGAGAGGTCTGCGTTTACTGTGAAGTTCCCAAGAAACTGCAGAAAGTCTAGCGAACCTTTGCGACTCAACTGTCCACATTCTGCATGAGGGTTTGTGTTTAATGAGTAACATATGTCCATACTTTCTGTCCATTGCCTTATAAGGTCATGAAATGTACACCTGAGTAAAGTGTATGTACAATATGTGCAATAGAAGCAGGTAGAGGAGCACAAAGTTTGGCCTGCTCCTCTTTATGTGTCAAATTAAAATTTTAAATAGACTAAACCTTCAACTTATGTCTGAGTTTGAGGCCACAGCAACACAGATAGAGACAGTAGTCACTCCGAGTTTGAGTTTTCAAATAAATTTCAGGGCAGAAGTTCAATAAATATTGAAAAGAAAAGTGCAGATCACAAACACATTCATTCAAAACAATAATATACTCTGCATAAACATTGTCCAAAAATTTAATCTACATTACCAAATCCAGTAAACATATTAAATAATCACCATTTTCGGCCGTGGTTTGCAGTGGATTTCCAAGACTAATGTTCTTCACTCCAGCTGTAACTAAATAAATAAGGTCAGTGGATCATTTAAAACGGAGACATTCAATTCAGCTTGTTTAAATCTTCCCTTTTGGCTTTGAAATAATGAAACAGGATATTTTAAACAATAATATACAAGCTACAGAGGCATCATGCGATATTTCTGCTGGTGTTCAGGGAACAGGAGGTTTAGTGAATGATTAAAGTTTAAGCCCCTGATACACTCAGAGTTAAAGCACTGAGAACCTTCATTAAAGAAAAAGATGGACTCTGAAGTTCCTCAGCTAAG